CCCCCCAAGAGGATCCCAAGCGGCCTCAAGAGGCCCACCCGAAGCACCCAAGACGCCCACGAGCCCCCATTGACCGCCAAGAGACCCCAAGACGTCCAAGGAGGCTTCCAAGAGGCATCCGAGCGGCATTCAACCATCCACCCAGCGTCATCATTCTCCTCATCCCTCCTTCGCTCGGTTCCCCGCCACCCCCTCATCTATCCATCTGGCCTCCTCTTCCGCCTCATCCTTTGCACGGATCGGCTGTCCCTCTCGTTGCTCCCCCACTTCCCTGATCTCTTCAACTTGCCTGGACATCGTTTCTGGATGGGCTGGTGGGGGCACGCGAAGCGTCAATAATTTCCGATATAATTCGGCCTACTCCACACGCAGGACATGACGCTACGCAAAATATGCTCCGTGCAACCTCTGTGGGGAACATAACAGGTCGGATACCAAGCCCCCGGGTCCAGAGATGGTGGACGTAACACGCCACACGGCGCAAAGGAACCCCAAGACGCCCCGAAGAGGCCCCAAAGAAGCCCCGAAGAGGCCCCCAAGAATTCTCCATGAAGTCCCAAAAAACCTCCAACAGGCCCAACAACGACTAAACTGCACGTGTTCCAGGCGTGCACCCCGCGAAGCGAATGGAATACACGTCGGGAAGTGACGTGCTGAGCGGCAGCGTTTTCTGCGGAGGCGGTAATGCAACGTATCCAACGTGTCCAATGCTGCACAATTGCAATGTATCCCGTTCTTACAGAATTGGTGCATATTGTCAGGGTGGGGGGGGGGCTGAACCGAACGGTCATTCACTGTCCCTGAGTGCGTGGCTGAAGTGGAATTCCGCGATGCGGATTCTCGTTGTTGTTGTTGGTGGTGGTGGTGGTATTATTGTTGTTGTTGGTGGTGTTGTTGGTGTTGTTGGTGTTGTTATTGTTGTTAATATTGTTGTTGCTGGTGGTGTTGTTGGTGTTGGTGTTGGTAGTGTCGTTGTTGTTGTCTGCTGGTTGTTGCTTATTGTTTGTTGTGTGTTGTGTGTTGTGTGTTGTTTGTTGTGTGTTGCTCGTTGTTTATTGTTTGTTGTTTGTTGTTTGTTGCTTGTTGTTTGTTGTTTGTTGATGTCGTCCCACCAGCGACCCGCCCCGCGACCCACCCGCGACCCATCCCGCGACCCACCCGCGACCCACCCGCGACCCGCCCCGCGACCCACCCGCGACCCACCCCGCGACCCACCCGCGACCCACCCGCGACCCACCCGCGACCCACCCCGCGACCCTCCCAAAATTTTCGGCGCCTGCGGTGGATTTTTTTGCATTCGTTCCAGGTGGAGAACCGAACCTGCGACCCACCCGCGACCCACCGCGACCCACCCGCGACCCACCCGCGACCCACCCGCGACCCACCCCGCGACCCACCCGCGACCCACCCGCGACCCACCCGCGACCCACCGCGACCCACCCGCGACACACCCGCGACACACCCCGCGACCCACCCAAAATTTTCGGCGCCTGCGGTGGTTTTCTGTTGCATTCGTTCCAAGTGGAGAACCTGCGACCCAAACCGCGTTCAGTGTACAAATCAAAATGTTCGGCGCCTGCGGCGGGCTGTTTTCGAGTTCCTTCCAGGTGGAGGTGGAGAGCCCGCGACCCACCCGCAACACAAACTACGTTCACTGAACAAGCCAAAAAGTCGGCGCCTGCGGCGGGCTGTTTTTGCATTCATTCCGGGTGGCCCACCAGCGATCCCCCCCGCGCTGAATTTGTCAGAGCACTCAAATCGGCGCCTGCGGCGGGCTTGCTCGCATTAGTTCTCGAGGAGGACGACGACGACGACGGAAAGGAGGGGGCAGGATCGGGATGGGGGAGGAAGAGGAGGAGGAGGAGGAGGAGGAAAAGGAAAAGGAGGAAGAGGAGGAGGAGGAGGAGGAGGAGGAGGAGGCGGAAGACGACGACGACGACGACGACGACGACGACGACGACGACGACGACGACGATGAGGACGAGGACGCGGACGAGGAAGAGGAGGAGGAGGAGGAGGAGGAGGCGGAGGAGGAGGAAGGCGCCATCGACAGGGAAAGTGAGGGCCCCGAGGGCCGCCGGCTCGACGCCCGCGACGCCCGCGCCCGCCCCCTCACTCTTATCCGCAATTGCGGGGTGCTACGGTATTGTGTTACATTATGATGTTTCCCCCCCCCCCAGCGCTGCGCCACATCCGTCGACCAAAACCTACGGAAAATCTATGCTTTCGGCCTGTTCGCCCTCTTGGGGTACCCCAGGGGGCCTCATGACGGCTCTAGATGGCCTCAAGACGGGCGAAGACGCCCCCAAGACGGTCCAGGATGGCCCCAAGAGTGCTGAAAAAGCCCCCCAAGACGCCCCAAGAGGGCCCCGAGACAACCCCCAAGAGCGCCTCCAGAGGCCAACATCATTGATGTTCCATGAGGGTTTTGAAAGATTTTAACGTTCTCACCTGTCTCGACTCTCAGAGGCCCATGGCGGTCCAAGCAACCTCCGAAATTGCCCCAAGATGGCCCAAAAAACTCAGAAGAGGACCCAAAGACAGCCCAAGAGGGTCCCAATATGGCCCAAAGAGGCCCCCAGGACGGTCCCAGGCCCTCAAGACGGCCCAAGAGGACCCCAAGATCGCCCCAAGGCGGCCCCGAGAGGCCCCCAAGACAGCCTCCGAAGGGACCAAACGGCGCAAGAGCGCCCCAAGACGGCACAAGACGCCCCCAAAAAGCCCCAAGAGGCCCCCAAGAGGCCCCCCAAAAGCCCCTTCTTGGACGAGGAGGGAGCAGGGGCAGGGAGGAAGAAGGAGGGAGGGAGGAACGCGACGACCGTCTCTTCAAAACGAGGACCCAACACCACAGGATGGTTGGGAAAAATCAAAGCCCCACTTAGGATGTGGGGAATCATGATTCCTCTCGCTTCGCAGGGTGCACGTCCGGAGCACGTACACACTGGGCGTCTGGTGGTTTCCCTGCACATCTGTCGCGCCGGTCTGCCGTGTCGTTCTGCCCGAATTCGGGCGCTGCCAACGCCATTGTGGCCTTTGGAGGGCCTCTGTGAGCTGCTCGGAGCATGTCCAGTCCAGTTCTTTTTCCCAACCATCCTGTGTTGGGTACTCGTTTTGAAGAGACAGCGCCCCGCGTTCACTCCTCCTCCTCGCCCCATCCTCCCCATCATGATCATCATCATCATCATCATCATCATCATCATCATCATCATCATCATCATCATCATCATCATCATCATCATCATCATCACCATCGTCATCGCCACCGACGTCATCATCACCGTCCTCATCATCATCATCATCATCATCATCATCATCATCATCATCATCATCATCATCATTATCATCATCATCACCATCCTCATCATCATCATCATCATCATCATCATCATCATCATCATCATCATCATCATCATCATCATCATCATCATCATCATCATCATCATCATCATCATCATCACCGTCATGATCGTCATCATCAACCCTTCCGGTACACCCCTCACACGCTTCGTGGCCCCATAGGGAGCTCAACCGACGGCTCCAAGGGGGTGCCCGCATGCGTCCGCCACACCCAGCACAGCGTTTCGTGGCCCCATAGGGAGCTACACCGAAGGCCCCAGTGGGGGTGCCCGCATGCGTCCGCCACACCCAGCACAGCGTTTCGTGGCCCCATAGGTAGCTCCACCGAGGGCCCCTGTACGGGTGCCCGCATGCGTCCGCCACACCCGGCACAGCGCTTCCTGGCCCCATAGGGAGCTCCACACAAGGCCCCAGTGGGGGGGCCCGCATGCGTCCGCCACACCCAGCGCGGCGTTTCGTGGCCCCATAGGGAGCTCCACCGAAGGCCCCAGTGGGGGTGCCCGCATGCGTCCGCCACACCCAGCACGGGTTTCGTGGCCCCATAGGGGAGCTACCAGAAGACCCCAGTGGGGGTGCCCGCATGCGTCCGCCACACCCAGCACAGCGCTTCGTGGCCCCATAGGGAGCTCCACCGATGGGCCCCAGTGGGGGTGCCGCAAGCTCTGCCACACTCAGCGCAGCGTTTCTTGGTCCCATAGGGAGCTCCACCGAAGGCCCCAGTGGGGGTGCCCGCATTGCGTCCGCCACACCCAGCACAGCGCTTCGTGGCCCCATAGGGAGCTCCACCGAAGGCCCCAGTGGGGGTGCCCGCATGCGTCCGCCACACCCAGCACAGCGCTTCGTGGCCCCATGGGGAGCTCCACCGAAGGCCCCAGTGGGGGTGCCCGCATGCGTCCGCCACACCCAGCACGGCGCTTCGTGGCCCCATAGGGAGCTCCACCAGGGCCCCAGTGGGGGTGCCCGCATGCGTCCGCCACACCCAGCACAGCGTTTCGTGGCCCCATGGGGAGCTCCACCGAGGGCCCCGGTGGGGGTGCCCGCATGCGTCCGCCACACCCAGCACACGGTTTCGTGGCCCCATAGGGAGCTCCACACAAGGCCCCAGTGGGGGTGCCCGCATGCGTCCGCCACACCCAGCGCGGCGTTTCGTGGCCCCATAGGGAACTCCACCGGAGGCCCCAGTGGGGTGCCCGCATGCGTCCGCTACACCCAGCACAGCGCTTCGTGGCCCCATAGGGAGCTCCACCGAGGGCCCCAGTGGGGGTGCCCGCATGCGTCCGCCACACCCAGCACAGCGCTGCGTGGCCCCATAGGGAGCTCCACCGAAGGCCCAGTGGGGGTGCCCGCATGCGTCCGCCACACCCAGCACAGCGCTTCGTGGCCCCATAGGGAGCTCCACACAAGGCCCCAGTGGGGGTGCCCGCACGCGTCCGCCACACCCATTACGGCGCGCCCCTCACGCGTGTCGTGTCCCACCGATAACGGCACCCACAATGCGTTACTCACAACTGAATATGGTTGGGTCCTTCGCCCGGATAATTTGTGTCTGCTTCATTCTGGCTCGAAATACGGCGGTCGGCAGATACAAATGACGACGAAGCCGTCCAAACAGCTCAACGGGGGCCTCCCGGAGCTTCGGCCCGTGCAGACGTGCTGCCAACGGCCCACCCTGACAACGGCTCACGCTGGCAGCGCGCCGCCGCCAGCGTGAGCCAGCCGAGGGTATGCTGCCTGCGTGACACACGTTTGCGCGACACCTGCGGCCGCTCGAGCGAAGATCCCTTTGGCGCGTGCGCGCGAAGAGAAACGCCGAGGCACAATGGCCCACGGGGGCTAGGCCGCAGCCCCGGCGCGCCGTGCCCTGGTCCCACGATGTCTCCCTGCCCAATCGAAGTTCGGGCATGTCCTCCCACAGGCAGATTTCGGGAGAAACATGATCCTCCTCCCTCCTCGCGATCTCCCCCGCCATCCTCCCCCAAGTGTTCAAGAGGCGGGGGGCGGCGGTGATTCGCCGCGGGCGTCTTCGATACATCCCCCCAACAGCTACCGCCTAACAGCAGCCACAAGGACTCTAAAACCCTGCTTCGGGCGTCCCTGGAAGCTGCTGAGATGTTCAAGCTTCAGGACGATGTCGGAGCGCTCAGGGCTTGCCGGTAGTCGTCGCAGCGCCGGCACCCGCGGCATCCATTGTGTCGTAGTCGTCGGAGAGCTCGAGCTCGATCTCCTCCCTGTCCTTCTCGGAGATTTTTTTGCCGGGATCCAAGGGGTCAGTGTCGGGATTGCACTCCTTCTTGACTGCTTCCAGGTCGTCGACTGTCTTTCCCGCGGGGAAGTCCGAGCTGATAGGCAGGGCCAGAGGATACTCTTCGATCTCTGGGCCGTCACCCTCCATGCTCCCCTTGCACACGCAGACTGCTGTTACGACGTTCATCAGCTGCGCTATCGCAGTATCCCAGTTCTTGGCCGTCTCGTTGTCCTTGTTGACATCGATCATGGCGAACCAGACGGCGTTCATGTTCAGCTGGCCCTCTTTCGGGACGGCACCGTACATGTTGGCGGGCTTCCGTTGGATGATGTCCATCTCGCGCATCGCGCGGAATGCCAGCGACCTCCGACTGACGTCAACACCGAGGGTGACGTCGTCTGCCGTGGAGGGGTCTGTGCCGCAAAAGTTGGGAATGGCCTCTACAATCACCTCCAATCTCGGGTACTTCTTGGTCTTGCTTGTCCAGCGCTCATCGTCCTTGAACTCGTCCTCAAGCATCTTGTAGAAGTGATTGAAGACAGCATTAGCGGTCCACCATGCCCTGGGAGCGTGAAATTCCGACGTCACTATGTAGAACTTGCCCGTGCCTGGAGGGATCCACCGCATGGCAAACCAGAAGTTCTCCGCAGTGGTGAATGCCTGAGACTCCAGAATGATCTTGTCCTTTGGGATCCCCTCGTCCATCAGGACCTGCCTCATTGCAAAAGCCTCGGTCATACCCACGCCCGCGGGGTCTCCCCCAGAGACCATCAACGCTACCACCTTCCCATCGTCCAGCAACTTCTTCGCCCCCTTCGCGCGGGAGACCAGCACCTGGGACGGAGTGCCATCTGGCTTCATCGCCTGGCCACAGACGAGGGCGACGCCCTGCTCAGCGCCCTCGACGATCGAAGTTGTCCACGGCGCCAACCTCGCCTCTTTGCCCCAATCTGGCATGCTGATCACGTCGGCCGGCCTCCCGCGCACGGGGATCGGGCCACCAGAACCGCCCCCCGCGACCGCGCAGATCGCCACCACCAAGAGGATGGCGAGCGCACTGACTGCCGGCAGGCGGAAGCGGGACCGCGGCCAGGGTGCCGCCACGGCCTCGGGCTCGCCCTCCGAGGCCGACTCTGCGGGTACAGCCTGCGCCAAAGGCATCTGCATGGCACCTGGCGCTCGCGCAGTTTCCCGCGCTGCCGCGCTCGTGGCGCGCGACGACGACGAGAGAAGCCGCGCCCGGGCAGCAGCTGGAGAGACCTGGTCAAGGGCCTGAGCGAAAATGGCTTGAGTCAAAATGGCTACGGAGTATGTCCAGTCCAGTTCTTTGGAGACCTCTGGAACCACCCTTGGGAACTCCTGGGGGCTTTTTGGGGGACTGCTGGGGACTCCCTTCGGGGCCTCTGCGGAATTCCTGGAGGTCTCTGGAGGGTGTGTTGAACCGTCGTGGGTGCCCACCCAGTGCAGCGCTTCGTGGCCCCATAGGGAGCTCCACCGAAGGCCCCAGTGGGGGTGCCCGCATGCGTCCGCCACACCCAGCGCGGCGTTTCGTGGCCCCATAGGGAACTCCACTGAAGGCCCCAGTGGGGTGCCCGCATGCGTCCGCCACACCCAGCACAGCGTTTCGTGGCCCCATAGGGAGCTCCACCGAGGGCCCCAGTGGGGGTGCCCGCATGCGTCCGCCACACCCAGCACAGCGCTGCGTGGCCCCATAGGGAGCTCCACACAAGGCCCCAGTGGGGGTGCCCGCATGCGTCCGCCACACACAGCACAGCGCTTCGTGGCCCCATAGGGAGCTCCACACAACCCCAGGGGTGCCCGCATGCGTCCGCCACACCCAGCACAGCGCTTCGTGGCCCATAGGGAGCTCCACCGAAGCCCCAGTGGGGGTGCCCGCATGCGTCCGCCACACCCAGCACAGCGCTTCGTGGCCCCATAGGGAGCTCCACCGAGGGCCCCAGTGGGGGTGCCCGCATGCGTCCGCCACACCCAGCACAGCGCTGCGTGGCCCATAGGGAGCTCCACCGAGGGCCCCAGTGGGGGTGCCCGCATGCGTCCGCCACACCCAGCACAGCGCTTCTTGGTCCCATACGGAGCTCCACACAAGGCCCCAGTGGGGATGCCCGCATGCGTCCGCCACACCCAGCACAGCGTTTCGTGGCCACATAGGGAGCTCCACCGAAGACCCCAGTGGGGGTGCCCGCATGCGTCCGCCACACCCAGCACAGCGTTTCGTGGCCCCATGGGGAGCTCCACCGAGGGCCCCAGTGGGGGTACCCGCATGCGTCCGCCACACCCAGCAAACGGCTTCGTGGCCCCATAGGGAGCTCCACCGAGGGCCCCAGTGGGGGTGCCCGCATGCGTCCGCCACACTCAGCACAGCGCTTCTTGGTCCCATAGGGAGCTCCACACAAGGCCCCAGTGGGGGTGCCCGCATGCGTCCGCCACACCCAGCACAGCGCTTCGTGGCCCCATAGGAAGCTCCACCGAAGGCCCCAGTGGGGGTGCCCGCATGCGTCCGCCACACCCAGCACAGCGTTTCGTGGCCCCGAAAAAGAAATATACACATGCACTGCCCTGGTCCCAGGAACGATTTGTTTTTTTGTATCTGGCGCAAATGGTTATCAACGTCATCGATTGTAAGCTATGTGCCAGCAGTTGCATGGTCAAATAAGATAGTCTGGTTTGGCGGGCATGGGGCTTCGGTCCAGCGCGTCGAACCAGGAGGTCTGTGTGTCTGCGCATGCCACTGATTGGCCAAGGGGGGTACAAACTTGTTTACAGTTGTGCGCAGCCTCCTCCTCCGCCTTCCTCCTCTCCGTAGCCTTTTTGGTTCAAGCTCGCAGGGCGTTGCTTGCCATTGCAGATCGCTTGCGTTCAATCCCGGTCAGGGGTGCACCGCCGTTGCCCAATCCCGTTCGCCTTCGCTCATCATGGCTCCTGGTTTCTCCGCGCCGGTGGACGTCGAACACTGCTCCTTCGCCAAGAAGGTGCCTCTGCCTGCCAAGACGGGCAATGATGAAGTTGACCGCCGCAACAAGGATGAGTATGAGGATTTGGTGGAATGCATCGACATCATGGTGGCCTTCCCGCAGACCCGCCCGGGTTGCGTGCGGGAGCTTCGTAAGATGAGGCGTGAGATCGAGGCGAAGAAGTCGCAGTCGCAGGGCAGCTTGGCCGCGTTTGCGGCAACAGGCACCACCCTCGGCCAGTTCATCAAGAAGAACGAGGTATGGTGAGTCATGTTCTTGGCCACCCGCGCCGGCATCAGCGCGGAACAGCAGGCCAACGCGAAGGAGTACGACAAGGACGCGTTGTACCAGCAGTTCCAGTTTGTGCTCGGCGCCTCGCTGTCCTTCAGGATCCCGAAGGAGTGAAAGTACATCTCGGTCGCAACGGCGCACATGGGCCACCGCATCGGCCAGACAGGCAAGCGGCAGGAAGTTATGCAGGATAGCTCTTTCGTGGACGCGGCGAACGGCAAGCTGCACTGGGAGCAAGGCGTGTACGCAGGCAAGTACAACGACAAAGACGTGATCATTATGATCGTGCATACCCCGACGGGTCACACCGCCGAGATCGCAGAGGATGAGGGGCTCGACAAGAGTTGGGGCATCGCGAACAATTTTTCTGACTTCACTGCGTGCTTTGTCAAGGGTAGGCACCAATCCGTCAAGTGCCACAAGTTCTTCGCGAAGAAGAAGGGTCCGAATGCGCTCGCCTGCTGGTCGGGGAAGCCAGGCAAGGACGTTACCGACAGGGCGAAGAAGCTCTTGACGGATGCGCAGGCCGGCGTGGCGGTCGCGTCCACCGAGGCGGTCGAGCAGGTCCAGACGGCTTTGGATGCGCCGCAGGGCAAGAAGAGGAAGGATGCCGCCGCTAAGGCGCGCGCTAAGCTCGAGGCGAATGCCGCCGAGTTGAAGAGAAAGCGGGTCAGCGATGTCAAGCGTGCTTCGTGAGTGCGCTGCGGGCCAGCCGCGATGCCATGTAGTTGGCTTCTCTTGCGCGGGAGGACGCACAGTCGTCCAACCTGCCTGCACCGGGGATCTTTGTTGTTAAAGTGGCCGTCTCAGGGGCGAGGGGGTTATACAGTGTGCAGGCGGCGCGGGCGAGCCCGCGAGTTGTGCTTCGCATAAGAGGGGACTCACTCGGACGTTCGTCTGGGAAAAAGAATCCAGGACTGCTAGGCTCTTGCTTCTTTCTGCCTGCACGGGCGCGCGCCGGTCGGCCGGCCCAGGGAGGGGCGTGGGCCCCAGAAAGAATATCGGTGTATGCGTGCCAACTTCGTGACGCTTCGCGCATCCCCGCCAGCCCATCCAGGAACGACGCCCAGGCGAGTTGAGGTGATCAGGGAAGTGCGGGATCGAAGCACGGGATCGCCGAGCCGTGCGGGGGAGGGAGGAGGAGCAGGATACTGGATGGATGGATGGGGGAGTGGGTAGAAGGATGATGCATAGGATGAGGAGGAACACAAGGAGGAGTAACATGAGAAACATGAACCGTCTTGGGGCCCTCCGGAGCCGTCTTGGCCTCGGGAGCCGTTTGGAGCCGTCTTCGGGCCCTCTGGAGCCCTCTTGGTGCTCCAAGAGGCTCCCTCTGGGGGCCCTGCGGGAGTTTTCTCAGGGCCTTAAGAGGCCCCCAAGGGCCCCCAAAAATCCCAGAAAAATCCCAGACTTGACTAAGACGGTGTCTGGGATTTTTCTGGGATTTTTGGGGCTCTCTTGGAGCCCTCTTGGAGCCCTCTGGGGGCCCGTTTGGGGGCTCCCTGGGCCCTCTTGGGGGGCTCCTTGGGTTCCCTCTTGGGGGCTCCTTGGGTCACCTCTTGGGGCCTCCATGCGATCGCGCACGGCCCACCCAAGGAGCCACGTCTTGGGGCCTTTCTGGAGCCCTTTGAGGGCCCTCCTGGAGCCCTCTTGGCGTTCCAAGAGGGCTCCCAGAGGGACAGAAGAGGGCCCGAAGAGGGGGCGGGGGACGGGGGGCGGGCCAGGTGATGATGAGAAAGGGTGACAGAGGGTGGGATAGTCTAGGAGGGGCGCGTAGTCAGGGCAAGGAGGGCGAGGTGGAGGGATTGGGAGATCGGCTCATTACGGCGAGGTCGCGGGATGCACTTCTATGGTCGAGCACTGTGCGTGGCAGATTTGGCGGACAGATGAAGTTTGCCCGAACCGGTGTCAATCTTTCGATCTCGCACCTAAATGTGTTGACGGAGATCGTGCGGGGGCATGGAGGAGGGGCGGGCGGATAAGGGGGCGGGCGGCGGGGGGCAGGAAAGGGAGATATAGGAGGGGCGGGGGCGTCAGGGAATTGGAGGTTTGAGGAAGCAAGGAAAGAAACGAGCTCGCGTGGACAGCATCGGCAGTAAGCGAATCGTCACCCTGAGGGGGGCCGTGCGCACCTTGTTCTCTGCTAGCCGACGCATGCTTTCTCATCGATCGGAGTGGAAAGGTCCGGCGGCAATGCGGTGACCCAGGGGTCGACGCTGGTGGGGGGCCGCAGTGAAAATTATTGCTGGCTTTTTTGTTGTTTTCATTTTCTCCCTTACCCAGGGGCCCAAAAAGCAGTCATTCCAGGTCCCTGGAGGTTTCGACTGGTCCCTGGACCCCCCAGTGCGTTCCTTGGAATCAGTGCGCATCCGGGGAAGCCCCTGCATTCTCTTAAAGGCTCATCGCCGTGAATCACAGAAATACCAAGAGATTTTGGCAGCAACCTGGTGGACGACGACTCCCTGGGGTTCGGATGGGGCGCACGGGGGCCTCCGTGGGGCTCCCGTGAGGCTCGCGTGGGGCCCCCGTGGGGCTCCTGTGGGGTTCCCGTGGGGCTCCCGCGGGGTTCCCGTTGGGCTCGCGTGGGGCTCGCGTGGGGCTCGCATGGGGCTCGCGTTGGGCGTGCGTGGGGCTCCCGTGGGGCTCCCGTGGGGCTCCCGCGGGGTTCCATTGGGGCTCGCGTGGGGCTCGCGTGCGGCTCGCCGCTGGCGTTCCGTGGGGTTCGTGTGAGCTCGCACCTACGCTTCAAGTTGGCATTCAGTCCTGGCTGCCAGCTGATCATCCGACCCTCAGCCTCCAGGTGGGGTGAAAGAGCCTCAGCCTCATTTGGATCACTTCAGGCATGCGATTTTTCGTTTGGCGTCGGACCAGAGGATTTGTTAATCGTGCCCCGTGGGTGTCGTTGGGATCTGACCACACAACGCCAAATGATATATTAACCAAGCATGGCCGCGAGAATTGCTCGAGTGAGTTAGAAAGAGGATTAAGTTACCCACTCGGCACGTCTCCCGATCTCTCTGGACTGGCCCTGTTTCACGCGTGCTTGCGCGTCCTATTCCAAGCCCTACGGCGAAGCCTCGGGCAAGCAGTCTGGCCATTCCTGCTCGGTACTTGGAGCACCGCTCAGGCTTGCGGGAGGTCTGTCTCGCATTCTGGGCGTCCTGGAGAGCTCCAGCTTGGGCTTTCTGTAAGTCCCCCTCAACATCCTGAAAGTACCCAGCCAGGACTCCCCGAAAGTTCCGTTCCACTTCGGCTCCCTGCAGGGCCAGATCATCCGGACACTCCTGTTCGTTACTTGGAGCGCCGCCCGGGCTTTGGGGAGGTCTGCCTCGCACTTTGTGCGTTCTGGAGAGCTCCAACTCGGGCTTCCTGAAGGCCCTCCTCGGCACCGTGAAGGTCCCACACGCGGGCTTCCTGCCGTCCCACGCTGGCTCCATGCGGGGCTCGGGACTCCTCTGGGGGTACTCTTGGCGGCTCTCTGAGGGCTATCCTGAACCGCCCCGAAGCCCCAGGAGGGCTCCGAGAAGGTCCACGGGGGGATTCCCGAAGGCCCCAACGAAGTATATAACCCGAGACGCTGGTTATATAGCCCCCTGGGTCCCTTTTTCAGCCCCTCTTGGACTCGTCTGGGGGCTCTCATGGGGGCCGCCTGAGGGCTCTCTGGAAGCCCCTCCGAGACTCTGGAGTGGCCCGAGAGGGTCCGACAAGGGCCCAAGACGGCCCACAATGGGGGCACAAGAGGACCTTCACAAAACAACACCGTGGTTAGCCGTTTTGGCTCGAACGCATCAGTTGCATCATATTTGATTGCTACCCGCACCTGCGCAGCTTCAGCTCGACGGATGGCTGCGAGCTCCTCCTCTGGTGGAGGCGGGGGCATGGTGGAGGGCAGTTGTTTGGAGATGCTGCTCGCCGACGAAGTGCAGGAGCCAGATCACAAGAAACTGAAGATCAACGAACCGAAGACTGAATATTCCCCAGTTCCGGAAGAGGGGTATGTCGAGTTGAACACCCCCATGGGGAGCGAGGTGACTTTCGTGGTGCACAAGGCGACGCTGCAAAGGATTCCTTTGCCGCAGGCTGGGCCGTGGCAGCTTGTCTTTTCGAAGGACGGCTCCGGTGCCGCAGTCAACGACGGGGGCGACTGGATTTTGACGTTGCAGAATGAATTTGGTCGCACGCTCGTGACCGATGGGGACGGCCAGTTCTACGTCGAAGAGAGGGGCAAGGCTCACCCGTGGAATTTGGACACCAAGAGATCGCTGTGCGAGGCGATGACCATCAGTTTGGCAGTTGGCGATGTCGATACGCGTCACAAGCACCAGGTCTATCGGCTGGAATGGACCCGGGGTGGCATGCATTTCTTCTGGGATGCCCTGACGCTCCACACAAGCATGAAGCTGAACACCAACGAGAAGAAACGTACTGTCTGGTTGTACAGGCAGAAAAATGGCTGGAGGAAAGCGTTCAAGCAGGCGACGGGGACGACCGTGCATTACACTGCAGGGTCTTCTAAAGCAAACAAGGAGGAAGATGACCGCGCAGAGGACACAATACGACTTCCATCGGGCAGTTTGTCTACGTATGATTTGTTGCACGTTTTCCTTACGAGCGCTACCTCCCAGGCGCACCAGGCTGGTGGTCTCAAGATGGGGTCAGCCAAGCAGGCCGCGGGATCCCTGTTCAGATCGCTGGTCAAAGCAAGCGTGTACCAGCGCAAGGTGCTGACCATCCAGGTCAAATTGCAGAGCTCGTGGCGCCCTCCATGGCCTCTCCTGGAAGAGGCGATGGGGATGCCGACAAAACGCCTACCCTGGTGAGCAAGGCCCGCCTTGGATTCTGCATCGGCGCGCGCGCATCCTTAGTCGTGCCTGCGCGGTGCGGTCGCCGATCCAAGATCCAAGGCGGGATTTGCCAGAACCTGCGTAGGGTTGCATGCGGCGCCCACTTCCAGGTCGCTGGCGACTTCACCGTCGAGGTCACGCAGGGCCGCATGTCGATCAAGCAGGTCCGGGACCACAAGGCCATCAAGGATAACGACAGCATGTGGGAGGAGCTCTGGACGCGCCTTGACGTTGCTTGCGGCCGCGGCAACGACGAGATCGACTTCGTAGACTTCGTCGTTGTCCTGAGCGGCATGCAGCAGCTGGACTGCGTGCTCAACCAGGTGGTCTGGGCATGCGCCCGGCAGATCGAGATGTACGCGCAGGGCGCTCTGAAGAAAGGCACTGACAAGGAGGCCCCCCTGCAGGTCGAAGTTGCGCCGCTCATCGACATTGCGTGGTGCCGGGAGAGGTTGGACCAGGAGCTCCAGAAGCACCTGCATGCGTGCAAGTGCGCGTCTGCTTCCCTTCGCAATTTCACCGTGGCGACTGATAAGGCAAACGTTGGTGGGCCCAGCTTGCAGAACTCCGTCGTCGTGCTGCCCGATGGGCAGGCGCTCGTCTTGCCGCCTCAGGCGCGGGCGATTGGGGGACAGGGCGATCTTTCTGTTGGGGGATGAAAACACCCAGAGGCTGTGCATATGCAAAACGCACGCCAAACGTATGCACAGCGCAAGAGGGGGTGTGCATATCAAAAAACCAGGAAACCTCGCATGCACACAGTGGACCAGCAACCAACTGTGCATTCGAAAAACGCACAAACTGTGCATACGCACAACCACACAGGGTGTGCATAGAAAAAACGCAAGCAAAACATATGCACACCTTTCAAAGTTCTGTCTCCCCCCCCCACAGGGAGATCCACTTGTCCCCCTGTCCGCCCCGTGCCTGGATAGGTGTGCTCTCCGTTCTCTGCGCATATCGTCAACGACGGGAACCGTCGCCACAAGGAGTGGTCCCAGCGGAAGGCCCCAGGCAAAAAGGGCATCAAGCACGTTTTCCGACCGAAGAAGAGGCACCGCACCAGCGTGTTGACAGCCCTGAAGAACATGGATCGCCAGCTGAGGGTGGGCACGAAATTCGACGGGCTCCGCTTCGTCGTCCGAGTCTCCGACGAAGAGACGTGGAGCGATGCCAATTGGCGCAACTGGCCTGGGCTTTTAGTTTCGTCGGACCAGGGTGGGGACATGCTATCGGCTGGGCACTGCATGCTCCGCTACCTTGACTGCAACGCCATATTGACGTGGGACTGGTCTCACGGTGCTCAGCGAGACTTGACTCTGACGTACCAGGCCCACGGCGTATGGAAGTACGCCTTGATATTCCTCGTGTGCATCAACGTCTACTCCGGCCCCGACCAGGACGAGGGCATGCGCTTCGAGCAGCTCACCGATGCCATGGATCACTTCTTCGAGCACTACAAGGCGGACTCCTTCTTGTTCCAGTCTCGCGCCGACGCCATGCTCCGCGAGTTAGGCGACGCCGTCCAGGTCGAGGAGGGCGAGAAGAACATCTACGAGGCGCTGTGGCGATACCTGCGCGACGGCGCCCAGAATTACAAGAAGCAGGACCGCATGAAGATGGCCCACGAGCTATACCAGCGATGGGAACAAGAGAGGTTCAAGCGAGAGTACGTCGCCCTCGAGTGCGGCATGCTGGACAAGAAGGCCGCGGCGGCCGTGGACAAGATGCCGGCAGGCGTCAAGTCGCACGCTGCGGCGCTGACCACCACCAGCTCCGCCGCCACCCAGGCGGACACCAAGCTGCTCCGCGCCAGCACGGCGAATAACTTGGCGATGTCGGCGTGCTTCATGGAGACGGAGAGGAGCAAGAGGATCATCGCCATCATGGCGTTGTTGCCCGAGCCCTTGGCGACCTGGCAGGGGCAGAGCGCGAAAGTCTGCAGGGACGTGACTGCCAACAGGAAGTGGGTCTTGGATGAGATGTCGCATGGATTTGCCAAGCATCAGCTCGCCATCCTCAATTGCTTAGTGAAGACAGGCATGGCTAAGAATTTGGGTTTCATGCGCCTCGCCGAGCTCCGCGCGCTGGAGAACGAGGACGAAGGCCCCATCGAGATCGAGGATGAGTTCGCGCAGCTGGCGGGCGACATCTGCGCAGGTTTGGTTGCTAGGCGCCGTCGCCGTCTCACTTTCATGACGAACATGTGGCCGAACCGCGCTGTTATGGCCATGGCGGGGGGCCCGGAGTCGGCCCGGATTGCGCAGCAGCTGGAGTTGGACTACAAGGTTTTCGGGGAGGTCGCTGACGCGCCCGACAAGGGCGACAAGCTGAAGGAGCAGGTGAGGAGGTCCGCGTTCCACCCAGCAAGGAGGTCGTGGACCTGGTGGAGGAGAGGTGGAGCGGCATCCTCTCGAGCGTCATGATCGAGGAGATCAACAACATCCAGAAAAACAATGGCCAATGCCGCGGTTCCATGAAGTTCCGGAGGCCTGAGAGGGGCTTGGCAGCTACTCTGTCGTCCACTGTGCTCACCGAGCGGAACAAGTACACGCCCGTAGTGCCGAATGTTCCCGTGCCCAGGTCGACGCCCACGTTGGTTGAGCAGAACGCGTTCGGCAAGACCAGGGAGGAGTCGTGGCTCGACAAGCTCGCCATTGCCAGCACGAAGCAGGCGCCTCCATATTGGAGCCCGACTGCTGAGAACGTGGGGCAACCAGGGACAGATGCAGCGTGCTGGCGAGATGCTCGTGATCACAAGCGCATTGGGGACTTGGAGAACTGCTTCATGGGTTGCTTCTGCGATTACAGGCACGCCATCATTTTCAAGAGAGCTGGCGGAACTAGGCACAAGGGTTTCGATTGGCATTTCCCCTTGTTTCACTTCCAGGACTCTGGCGTCGCGGCGATGCCTTGCAGTCTGTTGCCAGTCCCAGGGCACCCCTCGAAGAATTACGTCGTCTTCCCCGAGGCGGCGGATGAACCAGAGTTCCTCAGCGTCTTCGACTGGGAGGGCCTCGTGGCCATGCCCGTTCGTTGGCGCAGCCCTGCGTACCAGGACAAGCATTTGCCGAAGGCGAAGTGGGAAGCCGGCGTTCGGCTGTTCGCTGATGGGAAGGCCGAGCCCATGCAGTTTGTCGCAACCAGGGCTGCTTTCTGGGATCTCCCCTGCGGCACCCTCAGGAAGATCGCTGGCAATATCGGGTTGGCTCCTCCGGACAACCCCAGCTTGTATGAGGTTGTACTGTACATGGTCCAGGAGATCTTGAAACTCAGCGAGGCCGATGCTGCCGACGTCGTCGCTCAACGCCTTCGCTACGACAGCAAGGGCGCCGTGGACGAGACCGAATCCATCATCATGAATTGCGACGAGGCTGCGCAGTGCTTGGCGCAGCCAGACGAGCGGCTTGTCCGCAACGAGCAGAAGGAGATCCAGAAGAGGGTGGATGAGAGATCAGCCTTCGAGGTCGATTTCCAGGAGGCTGCGCAGCGGCGCCGGGCTGCGTCGAAGGACGGGGCGACGCCGCCACGTGCGCGCGCAGACCTTGGCCAGACCCACCTCGCATGAAGCGGAAGGGGGAGCGAAGGGGGAACGGGCTAGGGGGCGAAGGCATGAAGGGAGGGAGGAGGGCAAAGGGCGGGGGGGTGGGTACTGGAAGGAGTGGGCGGGTACATATTCACATACTTGCTCGGTGGTGAAAGTATCATTGGGGATGGGCCTGGCCATGGTCCGCATTCGCGCGTGGATGGTGCCCCCGTGAGGACGGGGGCAAGCCGGCGAACAAGGCCCCGAAGGGCGTGCCGAAACTGGACAAGGGCAAGTTGGCCATGGCAGAGCAGCGCCAGGCCAAGGTCTACATGCCTCCAGGCGGGTACCTGTGGAAGTCCAGGGCGACGTCGTCATGGAACGGCAGAGTGCCTCCGTTCGGTGCCCATTGCCGCACCGTCGGCAAGCCGAACGCCCTCTTCTGGGTGATATGCAGGTGTTGGGAAGATTACTGCCGCATGAAAGGCTGCGCCATTGCGGACGTCGGTCTGCAGGGCTACGAGGCATCTGTAGTAAAGGCTCTTGATCTGTCTTAGGTTGTCGACGGCACTTTGCCGTGGCAGCGCTCGGGTTTCTAGGGTGGCTCACGCGCGGGGTCGCGTGCGCTTGCGGGGTGCCCGCATTCTCATCTCGAGGATTGGATGGATAAGAGAACGTGGGGGAAAAAACGCTGCTCGTGCGTGCGCCCGCGCTTGGCCACGCTCGTCCGCCAGGGTCATGGCAGGGCCAGGCTGAACCAGGAGCCGAGACGAGGACGGGGAGGGAACAGGGAGGGAAGGAGGGCTGGGAGGGGCGGCAAGGCTATGGCCGTGCAAGTTCACGCAGCAAACGATTATTTAACTTCTTGACGCTACGCGCATCCCCACCAGCCCATCCAGGAACGACGCCCAGGCGAGTTGAGGTGATCAGGGAAGTGCGGGAGCAAAGCATGGGATCGCCGAGCCGTGCGAGAGAGGGAGGGGGAGCAAGATACTGGATGGATGGATGGGGGAGTGGGTAGAAGGATGATGCATAGGATGAGGTTGAAAACAAGGAGGAGTAACATGAGAAACATGAACCGTCTTGGGGCCCTCCGGAGCCGTCTTGGGGCCTTCGGGGGCCGTTGGGAGCCGTCTTCGGGGCCTCTGGAGCCCTCTTGGTCCTGCAAGAGGCTCCCTCTTTGGGCCCTGCGGGAGCTTTCTCAGGGCCTTAAGAGGCCCCCAAGGGCCCCCAAAAAATCCCAGAAAAATCCCAGACTTGACTAAGACGGTGTCTGGGATTTTTCTGGGATTTTGGGGGCTCTCTTGGAGCCCTTTTGGAGCCCTCTGGGGGCCCGTTTGGGGGCTCCCTGGGCCCTCTTGGGGGGCTCCTTGGGTTCCCTCTTGGGGGCTCCTTGGGTCCCTTCTTGGGGCCTCCATGCGCTCTTGCACGGCCCACCCAAGGAGCCCCGTCTTGGGGCCCTCTTGGAGCCCTCTGGGGGCCCTCTTGGAGCCCTCTTGGTGCTCCAAGAGGGCTCCCAGAGGGACCCAAAGAAGGCCCCAAGAGGGCTCCAGGAGTGTTCCACCCCCCCTCAAGAGGGCCGAACAACCTGTCACGAACAAGGCCCTTTTTCGTGACAGGTTGTTGGGCCCCCTGGGGGGCTCTTGGAGCCCCCTGGGGCTTTGTGGGGCTTGCGTGAGGCTCGTGGAGGGCGTTGGATGGCCGGCTTAGGGGCCGCGCGGGGTCCGGGGGACACTCCCGCGAGACATTCGTGGGGATCGTGAAGGCCCATGTGGGACTCACGTTGATTGGTGGACCTCATTTGTAATTCCATACCACGGTGCATACAGGGCGCTTTTGAACAACTCACAAACTACCCCAAAGCTTTGTCCCTCCAAATGCGCAGCTTGTGGAGGGAGGGGCTCATGCAGGGCCCCTTGGATGTCGCGTAAGATCTCTCGGGGCGCCTTTAGGGTTAGCGCGGGGCTCCCGTGTATGTCGCGCGAGCTTCGCGACCTTAGACGCATGGAGGGCGACCTGCGCAATGAGATGACATCAGCGGCCCGGGACGAGATGCTCTTTTTCACTTACCGTAATTCCGCTCACTCGATGTTCGACCTGCGTGGGAGTTGGTGCGCGGTGTATGTTGAAATGTGGTACTGAAGTTATGCTTGTTTCTTGCGTGTCGACGGAACGACCATAGGTCTCTTCAGGCGTTCTACTTTCCAAGGCCGTCTTCGTAATATTATCTACCTTCACATGCTCACGCAATCGCCGCCGCAAGATACGGCGATAACCCTGCAATTGTGGTTAAGAGTGGGGGTGGGGGGCATCACGGCGCCTTCCGTGGGGGCACCGTGAATCTTGACACAAACATGTTGCGGGCGCGCCGTAGCCTCCCCGTCAAGGCGCAACAACCGTGGCTACTCAGAGTCCTCCAAATCACATGCGCGTCCGCGCGCGTGTACTATGGGAGGTCCGCGTGCCGCAGCCATGCGCGCATCGACTGTCGCCGCCTCCCCTGGGGCAGGTTGGGGGGACCTCACAAGTCATCTTCAGCTGCGATGCCGCGTCTCCCCCATAGTCGGTGCTCCTGGTTGGCCAGGACACCGAAGGCGTTGTTGGTGCCCTATGTTAGCTATGCTTTAATATCCCTCACGAGGCTTGCAAAGAGCCCCCGAGACAACCCGAGAGGACATTCCAAGCAAACCTTTAAATTCTCATATTCGCCGGCCCAACGGGCCAGGGCGTGCTAAGATCTCCGGTAACTGATTAACAGTATTAACAGTATTTCTAGTTCGCGCGCGCGGGGCGGCCCCTGGGGGTCCCCCGGCGAAAAGTACCCCGACCAACGCCCGACCGCCGCCCGACCGCCGCCCGACCGCCGCCCGCCGCCCGACCAAGTCTACTCAGAGATGGTTTTCCTTCTGGGTGCGGCCTCTCAGGCTCCCCAGAGCGCGCTCAGAGTGCCCCAAGAGGCCCCCAAGACTGCCCAAGAGGCCCCCGAGACGCCCAAAGAGCGCTCGAAGACGCCGAAGATGACCCCAAGACGGCCCAAAAGGCCCCCAAGACAGCCCAAGAGGCCTCCAAGACGCCCCAAGAGCCTTCCAAGAGGCCTCCGAAGAGAGCCCCAAGAGGCCAAAATCGTTGATTTTCATTGTTTTTTCTATGTTTTTTGTGTTTTGGCTTTTTCGGCTTCCAAACGCTCCAAGACGGCCCAAGAGGCCCCCAAGACCGCTCCAAGACGGCCCACGAAGCTCCCAAGACGGCGCCGAAACGACCCAAGAGAGCCCTCAAGACGGCCCAAGTGCCGCCCAAGACGGACCAAGAGGCCCCAAGACGGGCCCAAGAGGGACTCAGGAGGGATACCGAGAACTCAAAAATGGAGCCCTCCGTCCCAGAAGGCGCCCAGGAGGTCCCAAAGAGGCCCCAAGAGGCCTCCAAGAGGCCCCAAGATGTCGCCAAGAGGCCCCAGGAGACTCCCAGGAGGCCCAAAAGAAGCCCCAGAAGGCTTCAAACATGTCTCCCAGGCGCCCCCGAACGGCCTCTCAACAGACCCCAAGAGGCCCCCCAAAGAAGCATCTTGACGACGACTCTATTTCGCCCCATCGAGAGACGACCCCCAGGGAACTGCTTCACCATCAAAACTCCCCACGCAACGCGTCCGAACGACACCCGCCCCCAAGAGCGCAACATGGGCAACGAACACACAGACAAAAACCAGCGATGCCATATCACGGGCCGGCGGAATGAGCGAAGCGATTTAATAAAACCCCACTGGAGGGTGCCGTGGGTAGCGCTTTCCAGGATGCATTTCGTTTGGCCCTTTGGAGGGCGCTCCAAGAATCGAGCATGGCCCCCCCCGTGGCTTCCCAGATTTACCCGACGGACCCCCAAACGAACATCAAGGCGACCCCCGAGGTGGCCCAATGGGAGCCCCAAGGAAAGCCACAAGGGCCCATTCAAGAGGCCCCCAGGAAACGTTTCCCAAGAGAGGCCGTTCAGAACACGCGCCGGGTACTTCTGCCCAAGTCAAAGAGAAGTCTGAAGCGGGAGCATCGTCTGTGAGTGCGCGGAAAGAAAATCTCAAGCCAGAACCCCCTCCGATGGGGCCCGCACTTCATTTCCTCAGACTTAGGGGGTCTCCCAGTATCTGAGCCTGGGTCCCTCTGGCTCACTGAGGCCAGAAGCTGCGAGAAGCTGCGACAGTTACACAAATTAAAGCTGACAAACTAAGTTCCACCACTTTGCCGGCGCCTCTGGCGACTCAGGCGACGCGCCCCTCGCACGACGCCTTGAGCCGAACCTAAGCTCGGTCGGGAATGGTGTCGGTACACTCCGTCTGTCAACGCACAAGGTTTGCGAGATTCGGGGGGCTGCGGCAGAGGCGAGAGCAAAAAAAAAAAAAACTTCGGAGGAGGGGAAGGGGGAGGGGAAAGGGAGGACAAGGAGGGCGGGGGAGGTGCCAGCAACGCGCAGGTTCGGCCTAGTACAGGACGAAACCCCTGGTACAAAGAGTTGTCGGCACCAAGCGTGGGGGGTGCCAAGAGAGGACGACGAGGGGGGCGAGAAGTGGAGAAGGTGAGATGACAAAGAGCTCTTGACAGGGAGGCAGAGCAGTGGTGAAGGGCGAAAAGAGGGAGGGGGAGGAAGACACATGAGGAAGCGTAAGGGAAGACAGAGGAACGCGAGGTGGTGCGGATTACCGGCCAACAAAAAAAATCGCCGGCCCAACGGGCCAGGGCGTGCTAAGATCTCCGGTAACTGGTTAACAGTATTAACAGTATTTCTAGTTCGCGCGCGCGGGGCGGCCCCTGGGGGTCCCCCGGCGAAAAGTACCCCGACCAACGCCCGGTCGCCGCCCGGTCGCCGCCCGACCGCCGCCCGACCAAGTCTACTCAGAGATGGTTTTCCTTCTGGGTGCGGCCTCTCAGGCTCCCCAGAGCGCGCTCAGAGTGCCCCAAGAGGCCCCCAAGACTGCCCAAGAGGCCCCCGAGACGCCCAAAGAGCGCTCGAAGACGCCGAAGATGACCCCAAGACGGCCCAAAAGGCCCCCAAGACAG